CTAAAATCACACATCAACAGTTCACACAGATTTCAGCTTGAGATTTTCAGTTTGAGCAGAAGAGTTTAAAAGTGCAGCACTTTTCTTTGGATCGTAGCGGAAGTCCGGTTCTCCAGAGTACCCGAAGCACTCCACCTGCTTGTTGAACTGTTCCAGATCTGAGTCCGTCACGCTCGTCCCGTTGGCTGCAAGCAAAAAGACATAAATGATATGAATGTTTTGGATATAAAACAAGTAGCTTCCTGCCTCAGACTGGTTCCTTCCTACCCATCAGATAAAGAGAGTGAGAGGTGACGTCCCCGGGTCCAACTGTGACGTTGACATTCAGCATTTCAAGGAACTTCTGCATGTTTGCGATTGTGGAGTTGACGCTGAGAGACAGACAGCCTTCGCAGCTCGGCAGAATTTGGTAATCTCCAGAAAATCCAGGAACTGAAAACAGAGACAAAGTCAGAAACATTTAAGTAAAATCAGCATCATTCTCCATCTGAAACAGTATTTCATTCAAGGACTGGAGGTGTGATGTCTGGAAACTGAATTGTTAAAACTATTTAAATCGTGTTGGATGACTGAAAAAGATCAAAACAAATTAAGAAAGTGATTTTAAAACTAATTAAAAGAAGAATAAAACAATTTTTAAAAGACACGCAAAACAAATTCAGAGATGTAAGCCAACTAAAAGAGACTTAAATGACTTCAAACTCTAAACTTGAATAATAACAAAGGAATGTAAAGGAAACTAAGAGACAAAACTGAATAAAACACGTGTAAAAATAATTTAAAAAGATGTAAGATGATTTAAAGGAGACATAAAACTAATAAAAAGAGCAGCAAAGTAACTAAAAATAGACATAAAACTAATTATGAGATGTAAAATGACTTAGAATGTCAAAGAAATTAACAGAAATGTCAAAGAAATTAAAAGAGAAAAAGAGAACTTAACCAGAATGTAATGAAAATATGCTTTTTTAAAAACTAAACACAAAACTTAAATTAGTCCTAAAATGAGTAGAGATCAAATAAACTTATATGAGATATAAAATGACTACAAAGAGATGTAAAAAAAAAAAAAAAACAAACAAACTTGAAAGGAAAAACAAAACTGCTTCAGCAGAGACTTAAACTAATAAAAAAGTGGCATAAAATGCATTTTGAAAAAGACATACCACAATTTAAAAGCGGCATAAGAAACTGATAAAGAAACTGAGTAAAGAGATGCAAAACTACTAAAAAAT